TGGAGGTAGTGACAGATTTTATTTTCCTGGGCTCCAAGATCACCTCAGATGGGGACTGCAGCCAAGAAATTAAAAGACGCTTGCTCCTGGGGAGGAAAGCTATGGCAAATCTAGACAGCATACTAAAAAGCAGAGACATCACCCTGCCAACAAAAGTGCATATAGTCAAGGCCATGGTTTTCCCAGTTGCAATGTATGGGTGTGAAAGTTGGACCATAAGAAAGGCTGAGCGACAAAGGATTGAGGCCTTTGAACTAGGGTGCTGGAGAAGACTCCTGCGAGTCCCTTGGACTGCAAGGCATTCAAACCGGTCAGTCTTAGAAGAGATCAACCCTGACTGCTCTTTAGAAGGCCAGATCCTGAAGTTGAAACTCAAATACTTTGGCCATTTAATGAGAAGGAAGGACTCACTGGAGAAGGGCCTAATGCTGGGAAAGATTGAGGGCAATAGAAGAAGGGGATGACAGAGAATGAGGTGGCTGGATGGAGTCACTGAAGCAGTAGGTGTGAACTTAAATGGACTCCAGAAGATGGTAGAGGACAGGAAGACCTGTAGGAACGTTGTCCATGGGGTTGCGATGGGTCGGACACGACTTCGCAATTAACAACAACAACAACATAGCATATTTTTCATTCTAGCACGTCTATTCATGGAATACCTTAATGGAAAGAAGTAATTTAATAGAAGCAAAATGTTTTCTATTTCAAATTGAGCTAATGATTTGCTTACATTCTTCCCTAACATCAGGAAAGAAAGAAAAGTTGGATGGTTGCTGCTTCCGTTAAAGGTGGAATATCATAGAAACCATGTGGGATCCCAGATCATGTCCAGAAATCTTATTCCACCATGCTAATGGACAAATTGGCTGGGAATGGTAGAGTTTGTAATTTAAAACATCTGGGCAGCAACTGTGTGGGGAAAGCAGTACTAAGGTTTTGATATTGTGGAGGGTTACTTTTTTTAAAAAAAGTATAATTAGGTAAATGTGAGATGTTTTAATGTGCCCATTTGCCATTTTACTAGCTCTGAAGCAGGGAGGACTGAATGAAAGGACACTGTAGGTAATTTACATCTCGGGACATTTTGTGTCCCATTCTTTTTGGAGGAGAAAAGAAAATGGCCTGCAATGCAATGGTTTGCTTCTAATGTTCTGCTTTTGTGTTATTGTCTTGTTTAATAGTGGTGCAGGAGAGGGTAGCTGGTTTTCTCAGGAATGCCTTATTGACTTGT